TTTTCTTTGCTTTGTAACGCACCTGCTCTCATACGAAACGATTTTGCAAAAATAAGGGGGGAGGGGGGGTCGTATTTCTGTATGGCTATGATGTTCGAAAAGAAAGAAAGAAAGAGAAACTAACAAGGAGAAAGAGAGAGAAGAGGAGGTATTAGACGCTGTGATAATTAGAGAAAAACAATAGGCCTACCTTCTCTTCGTCTTCACTGTCACCTTCCGCCCTCCTCTGCGCCTCTGTGGGCGTTGAATCTGCTCCACCGGACAGAGAAAAACATCCGGCTGAGTTGGACTCCTGGTTGACCTCAGACACAAACACGTTGTGGTTAAGTCCGGAAGAAAGTGCAGAACAATTAGCTGCTTGTGCACGTGGGTCCCCAGAGTTTGTTTTCTCAGGATAAAGTTCAGCTTCCCCGTCCTCCAAACCTTTCGAAATCTCACTTTTGACCACCACTGAATTTTGAGCACCAGAGGATGGTTCAGTGGGAACCATGCTTTCAGACTTGTTGTTTTGCTCTGTTAGTTTTTTATTATATTTTGCACTTTGCCCTGTTAGTTTTTCATTACATTTTGCTAGTTCTTCATTACATTTTTTTAGTACTTTATTGCACTTTGCAAGCTCCGCTTTTATCTTCTTCCCATCAGGCGAGGATTTTTCCTTTTCATAAATGTTTCGAGTTACGCCATGTTTAGGACTAGAGAGAGTAGGGACACTATCTACTCGTGTTCTTTTAAGACTTTCATTTTCGCGATTAATGCTTGTGTCTGGGTTGAGAGGACCTGGGGCTATGGTTGAGACACATTCAGTTGCATAAGTATTGCGTGTGTCTGGGTTGTGAGGGATTGTAGCTGTAGATGATGCACCCCTGCAGTCGGTTATGTTGACCTCATCAGGTATCGGTGCCTCCTTATTTTGTGCCATTGACACATGGCAAACACGAGCCACGTTTGACGGTAACCCACTGTCGAGAGGTGAAAGTTGTCCCCTTTCTCCCGCCGGTAGCTGCGACTGAGTTACATCACGACTTGTTGAAGTGTGAACGTGTCCGGTAGACACCTGGTCGGCTGCCTCTCCATATATGGAAGTCTTTTGTCCACTCGTGTCCGGTACGTGTCGTTTGAGAACAGAGGCGTCGGGCTGGCCGATGACGTCCGTCGGGCCAACAGGTAACGAAGCCGCTGTTCTGTTTGAAGTCACGGAAAACGGGTGGTTACCTAACGTGTCAGTAGATGGCTGGTCGCTGTCTTCCCCCGTCGGTCCGGTCACACCTGGCCGAGAAATTGCCTTATCGCTGGGATTAGTGGGTGATACTTCGGCCATCTCCAATTTCTTATCTCCACACCTTTCGTGATATCCGTGAAAATCTCGCTCAATATCGTTAACATTTTCTTTGTCTTTGCAAATGTTTTGTTCGATGACATTCGACTTTTCTCTGAAGTTGTTTCTTGTTTGTTCCAAATCATCATCGGTTTTCTCATGATGGTCTGTCATAGGAACAGTAAGGTTTGTGTCTTTCTCTGACAAGCAATTAAATGCATTTGCCACGTCCTCCGATTTTGAGCTTGCCTTCTCAGTAAAAGCGCTTCCACGCTGTATGTTTTCAGCATTGTTTTCTTCATTCACATCTCCATCGTTAGTTTCTGTCTTCTCTTTCTCGACACTCTGACAACTGTCTGGAATGTTTTGTTTAGCTTGAGCTGAATCCTTCGCGGCTTCATTCTCGCTCTCCGGGGCGTCATTTGTAGGTGCACAATTATTTATTTTCCTTTCAGCTTTCTTTTTCCTTTTTTCTTCACGCACTCGCTCCACCATGTCTCTGAGAGAGCCCACTTTTTCATGGAAAGTTTGCGCAGTTTTTCTCTCCTGACCTTCCGCACTATCCGGTGGGGTGGCTGGGTTCAAACCCGTCATCGTAGTGTGTACGTGTCTCTGACAGAAGACTTCCACACGTGCTCAACAACGGACTCCTTTCAAACTTTGACGTGCTCTGCCTGTACCTTTAGAGGAAGGAAAATTATCAACGTGTGACTGTTTATTTGGAAATCAAGGGTGTACATGGGTTTCATTAAGTCGGGCTTATATGTGCTTATTATCAGCTAACGGGTAAATGATTCGACAAGTTGATTGTTACGTTTTGTTACAAGCATATTCATCTGGAAGAGTCGCTGTCTAAAAGGAATTTTAGAGCCAATTTTACAAACTGGGTACCTTTTTTTCACGGTTTCACAACTAATCTGAGTTGAATGGGCAGGATTCTAGTCCGAGAATTAGAGATGCTCGTCGTCATACCAACGCAGTTTGCTCTTGAATTTACATACAAAATAAAGGGTTTTCAGCTGAAAGTTATAGGGGTATACTAGGACTAGATGCAAATTGATAGGGCATCGAAATATTATTACCATCATCCTCGTTATCATTGTTGAAAAGTAGTGAAAATAAACCTTTTATCTATGGAGACGTAATGGACAAAAGTACATTTTTATATGGAGACTTAATAAAAAAAATTACAATATATTCTTAATTGGAGACTTGGTTATTATGGTTTAGTTAGTATACGCGTTCTTATATTCTACGTTTCGCCATCAAAAACTTTGTTCAGAACATTATAAACAGGAGGAAAAAGCTATTATATCAACTATAGCAACGATAGCGTTCACAAAGAATTATAATGCTCGTTATCGCAATCACCGTTGTTGTAAAAGTACAATGTAGCCTACTTAGGGTATGGAGACTTAAAAACAGTTAAGAAAGTAATTGAGTATTATATAAACGGATTTTTTAAAACGTTTCGCCCAGTCGGGCTTCATCAGGAACAATATTTTTAAATTAACAAATTATATTATAGCAAAAAAATCGTTCATTAGTTTGATCAGTCAATCATCATCATCTTCATCATCATGTAAGCACAATTCTTTTTTTAAAGAAGCAAAAGTTTGGTGCAGATTGAGTATTTTAATATTTAAGACAATATAACATAATAATATGTTATAAGTTAAACGTACCCCCCTGTGGGCTTCGTCAGGAATGTCCTAAATCATCATCATCATCATCATCATCATCATCATCATCATCATCATCATCATCATCATCATCATCATCATCATCATCATCATCATCATCGCTGTTGTAATCTCAGCTGAAACCTAAACGAAAAGTTCTATAATATAGTAAAAAATATAAAAATGAAAATGTAGCAAATAGATTCCTAAAATGCACAAACATTATTTACGGATAATATTTCAGACAATATGAGAGAACAATGTTACTTACCTTGACCGTATTTCCAACACAAGAAAACGTGCATGAAGAGTGAGAACAAAGTCCCAGGAACAACCGGGCATATATCCTGTACGAGAGAAACAATCATACACGCGCTTAAAATTTGAAGTCACTGTTGCTCCTTCGACTGCAAATTTCAACTGTTTCAAAATCCTCTCAAAGCGGAGCCACACAGAAAGGGTGCGCGCGAGGCATCTGCTGTCATGCAGTGACGTAAAAGCAACACTGACCAACTCGGTTAGTGTCTTGCAAACAAATTAAAATTTAATAATAGGTCTTATTCAAACATGGACATGCCAATCGACTACGATTCAAACGTCAAGAGATCTAGAAAGACATCCACAAATGTCCGTGACCGTTACTGCTTTTGGTTTTTTTCTTCTTTTTTTCCCCCTTCAAATCCCTAAACAATATCACGTAATTCTGACGTTGCTTGCGTGAGAGGCAGAGGGTTTATGACACGTCCTAGTTTGTTCAACAGAGCCTGTCAACTGGCCTGGCCATTCACTGATAAGCTGGACGCAGAGCCGGGTTGGGGCGACGCCAACCTTCACTGACCACTTCGACCAATCAGAATGCAGAACGAACGCTGGTGATTGACGTTCATTCAGGTGTTGAAAGGTGAAATGAAGGGAAGGTGGGCCTTAGGGAAAGGGAGGGAGGGAGGGGGCGGGGAGGGGGGAGTGTAGAGACCTCGAGTTGTTTCCTTTTCAGAAAATTAGTTATAGTTATTAGAAACTGAAGTGAAAGAAAAGTGATGACTCTTTTCTTTATTCTTTTAAATATTTGTTTCCTTCTTCAGTACTTTCCGTCTTGTAACTTACTTTTGTTATTAATAAAATTTGCTTGCTCTTTAAAAAATATAAATTACTAGATCTATATTAATATGATCGGGTTCTTTCCACTTGCTTGCTTAGAAAATATATGTTTGCAATCTTTTTTAAATTCTTCTTTTTTTTTGGAGACATACATCCTATTGTTATTTTTCTCTGCTTTTTTTACGTTCTGTATTTATTGATTTTTGCATTTGATTGTTCGGATGTTTATTTGCTTGTTCATATCCATTATCTATCCTTCAGTATCATGTATCATAAATGTATTCGATTATTAGATTACTTTTACTTTCTGTATTTTGTAAGTGTTTTTATCTTTTGAAATACTTGTTAATCAGGAGCTGGATTAAACTAAATAAATCTCTTTCGACAATAAAAAAAAAATAAAAAATAGGCGTACCAGGGAAAAGGAAGCGGGTGGTAAGAGGGTGCCACTATGAGGTGATGTCTTTTTCCATCAATGTGTTGTTTCCGTCTTTTCACTTATTTCCTATCATAGAATGAAATAACCGTTATCATGTTTTCGGTGTGTCTCCGTTTGCTTAATTACAATCAAAATTATGTGTTAAGTGATACGAAACCCTTTTAGAGAAAAAGCTAAAACCAGCTAATAGAGTAGCCTCCATAAAAAAGACAACAGCGCGCAATAAAAAGAAAACAGAAAACTAAAAAAGATAAAAACCAAACAAACAACAAATAGCACAATCAAAACAAATAAGACAACAGCTACTACCAGTCAACAAACAATTACCCCAAAACTGAAAGCAAAAGTAGCAGCACTAACGATCACTATGACAATGCAACAAACAATTTTTTTTAAAAGATAAAAATCATTCAACTCTTTGTGTTAGTAAATCGTCAGCTCCTCCCCGCTTTGATTTTTCTTCGTTATTTTGGTTGTTTTTGTTCGCTTTATTTATTCACTGTATGATATCGTCCTGTTCCTTTTCATTTACTGATCTTTAAGATATCCATCCATCCATCCATCCATCCATCCATCCATCCATCCATCCATCCATCCATCCATTTATTCATTTATTCATTTATTCATTTATTCATTTATTCATTTGCTTGCTTGCTTGCTTGCTTGCTTGCTTGCTTGTTTGTTTGTGTGTTTGTTTGTTTGTTTGTTTGTTTGTTTGTTTGTTTGTTTGTTTACCTTCCTTGCAGAATTTCTTTCTACACTTTAATGACACTGTGTAAGGGCCACTTACCCCCTCGATAACGGATGGCTGTCATAGACAGTTTCGACTGTATGTCGATTCCACGCTTGACTAAACTAAATAGAACTGTTTTAACAAGTATTCATAACTGTCGTACCAGGGATAAAAGAGCGGGTGGTTAGAGAGCACCACTCATAGAGTTATCTCCTAGTTGTGTAAATCTATGGCACCACTGTAAGGTCATGTCTCTTTCTATCAGTGTGCCGTTTTCGTCTTTCTCACTAGTTTCCTATCATAGCAGCAACAAACCGTTCCCATGTTTTCGAAGTGTCGCTCTGCTTACTTAAATCGGCTCAAAATTAAGTGATAAAAAATGTTTTAGAAGTAAACCTAGAATCGGTGAACATAGAAGCTTCCATTAAAACCCAGCGACCACAAACAATAGAATACAACAAACTAAAAAGGCAGTAAACAAACAAAGAACAAAGAAAAACAAAAAACAAAACAAACGAGTACAATCAACAAATAAATACGTCAAAGCAGAAGGCGAAAAAAGCAGCACCTATGCAAGAAGTAAATAAACCAAAATATAAAATAAACAAACAAAAAATAAAATAAATCATCGAACTCTCTATTTAGAGAACCATCAGCCCCTCCACGCTGCATGTTTGTTTAGATTCTTTATCATTATCTTTATCGTTATCATTATAGTTTTTTTAAATAGTTTTTTAAAAACAGATTATTGATTTTTCAAAAGTCGTACATCTTTAATCATTTTTTCGTATGTTTTTCCACGTCTTCTATTTATACATTCTCGCATTTGCTGATTTTTATTTGTTTGTTCTTGTCCGTTATTCTTCCTAATGTGGTAGTTAATCATAATTATATCGATGTACCCCGTCGTTCATTTGCAATTTCTTTTAGCCATTTATTGTTGTTCTAGATATCTAGTTGTTATTTGGGTTGTTTTAATTGTTTGAAATAATTTCTAAAAATGTTAATTAATTCAATACTTATTCTAGCTAAATATGTGTCTTTTGATAAATTATTATTGGCATACTAGAGATAAGAGAGCGGGGGGTTAGAGGGTGCCACTGTAAGGTCTTCTCTCTTTGTATAAATGTGCTAGTTCCGTCCATTTCACTTATTTCTTATCACTGTCATTGCACTTTTAATGACTGTTACATATATATATATATCAAAGTGTCTTTCAGATCAAATTCAAGAGTTAAGAAAATGGTTAATAAGAAAATCTAAAATTAGCTAATATGGGAGCTTCCATATGAAAAATCCCCCAGCAGCAACCATACAATAAAAAGAAAACAGCAAACTAAAAATAACAAAATGAACAACAAATAATATCATCAAAAACAAAACAAAAACTACAGCTTCTTCAAACCAACCAACAAATCAAGTCAAAACAAAAGGCGAAATCAGTAAACCT